CATCATTCTCAAAACATTTTCTCTCCACTTAAACCGCCGGCATTAGGTCCTCATTTTTCCCCTCCCTCATAAAGCTCTTTCTTATAGACATATGATTGTGTAAAGCGCATTTGTACATCATTCTCAAAACATTTTCTCTCCACTTAAACCCCCGACATTAGGTCCTCATTTTCCCCCTCCCTCTTTTAACCAGTTCCTTTTAATAAAACATCTTATTTGGCAATAGATTTAAGTTTATGGAAAAGATGTAAAAATAGTGCAGAGTTTTTACTATACACTTTATCCAAATTACTATTAGCTTTTACTCTTTCTAAGCATGCATTGTCATATCTCTCTCATATTTGTATATGTATATCTATCTATATACCCAGTTTAAGAATATGTTAGATGCATTACGTAACTGTATCCTTAAGTTTTTCATTGTGTACTTTCTAAGAATATAGGACTTCCATTAAAGAGTTATAATAGTGTTATTAACTTCAGTTATTAACTTCAGTAAATTTGACATTGATGTAATATGTTTATATAGCTACAGTACATATTCTAAGTTTGTCAATTGATCCAATAATATCCGTTATAGAATTTTTTTTGTCCTCCAGTGTAGGAGGGAGCCTTGGGTCACATATTAATTTAGTTGTCATGTCTTTGTAGTCTCTTTTAATCTGGAACAGTTCCTTAACCTTTCTTTATCTTTCATACAGTTAATTACTTGAAGAATATAGTCTCTGCCCCTTTGTAAAAGAAAGTTTATTATTTTGGGTTTATCTGATATTTTCTTAAGATTAGAGTCAATCCCTGTCTGATTTCTGGCAGAAATACTCCCTAAGGGCTATTGTGGCTCCCTGATGCCTGTGTTAGGGTGCAAAAGAGACTCCAATCTCACATATAATTCAAGGAGAACATTTATTAAGACTTAAAGGGGACAAAGACAGCACAAAGATACAGATACATCATCCAGACGAGGGAGGCCATAAGCATGAGGTCATCATGGTGACAGAGAATTCATGTCGGGACACTAGTCAAACAAAGGAAACGGTCACAGATTCATGACTGGTGGCAGAC